AAAGATTCTAAGTTTTATTGTGTGGTTTGTGAGTTGTCAAAGCATACCCATACTAGCTATATCTCTCATATGACTTGTATCTTCTTAGGGTACTCTTCTATGTCTAAAGGGTATAGGTGTTATGACCCTGTGTCTCATCACTTTCACCACATTTTGGATGTTACGTTTTGTGAAGATCTTTCTTTCTTTGGTACTAACCCTTCTTTCCAGGCTTCTCCTCCTGTTACTTCTGAAAAATCTTAAAAATCTCTCAAATATTGATTTGTGATTATGTTTCAATTTTAAATAATGAATGACAATCTTAATCAAACAATCAAAGACAAATTAACACAACGATTTAACGTGGAAAAACCACAATTAGAGTGGTTCCAATTGTGATAAAAAAAAAACCACGGGCCGAAGCTACAAAACAATTCACTAAGAAGACAAAAAAGAATTACATAAGTGTACTCTCAATTACCTAGCGAAACCACACCCGAATTGAATTGGCCCCATTGTGCCTCTTCCAACACCGTCTTCACCTCGGAATTGTCTTGTATAACATTAAATCCACAACGCTGATGTCGAATCTACGACGATGAGCTACTCCAGAATCCACCAAAGCTTCAAGCCCAAGTTCTACGGAATCCATCGAAGAACAATTCTCTATTTTGTGAATAAACAAAAATAAACAAACCCTTGATAATGTTGATATGAAGTTCACAAATCCATTGATCACTCTTAAATCATCAAGGAAACACTCAGAAAGTACCCTCCGATATAAAACACTTTGTATCTTGTTCCTCTCTGAAAATCTAGATGGCTCAAAACCTAGAAATAGCGAACAACGCACTTTATAGAAACAAGGTCGCGCAGACTACTCGAGCGCACATTTTACTGCTCGAGTGGTGTGATTAAAGGCGATAAGAAACATATAGGCTCACCGCTCAAGCGTAACTTTCACCGCTCGAGTGGTAAAAATTTCTTCCCAGAAGTTCATGAGCTCTACAAAAATACTAGATAATCTGTTTCTTCACTCGAGCGCACAAATGACCGCTCGAGCGGTTAAATAATTTCGACTACAGCTCGATCCCTGACATAGTTAGCAAAGTGGCAAACATGAGCAGATTGAGATCACAAACTCCTTTGCAAGGCACAATTTGGGTTGGATTTACATCTAGATACTCACAGCCTCACTGAAATTAAAGGTCAAATAAAATTACAACTGAAAGGAGTTTTGTATAACGGGATTGCCAATTACAAAAACCTAACAACTTCCTCTATTCGTCCAATGACCATTTTGGACAAGGTTGAGAATGAGGTTGTCCCCCTTCCTCATTCTCAACCTTCGTATCCTTCTCCATTGCAAGTATACTCCCATCACCCACGCACTCAGCCCCCCTGCCGCCTCTCCGATCTCTAGGTCAGGGAACTCTTCTCCTTTAGCTTCTTCTCCACCTCCTTATCGTAACCCACGTCGGGATCAACATCCTCCAAATCGTTCGAGTTATTTGAGTAGTACTTATCATCCTATTCCTTAATATCTTTCTTATGACAGTGTTTTCCCTTCTTACCGTTCTTTTCGTAGCAAGCTTGAGTCGGAGTCCATTTCTCGTTCTGTATCTAAGGCCGTTCAGAATCCCAAATAGGTAGCGGCTATGCAGATTGAGATGGCGACCTTAGAACAGAACCACACTTGGGATCTCGTATCTTTACCTCCTAGGAAAAGCACAGTTGGTTGCACATGGGTGTTCACTATAAAGTACCTCGCTGATGGCTTAGTTGACTCTTGCAAAGCCCGCTTGGTGGCCAAAGGTTTTACACATATTCCTGGCAAGGATTTTGGTGCCACTTTTACCCCTGTTGCCAAGCTTAGTTCTGTACGTTTCCTTATCTCCATTGCAGCATCTCATTCTTGGCCTTTTCATCAGCTTGATGTCAAGAATACATTTCTCCATGGAGATCTTCTTGAGACGATTTATATGGCTCATCCACCCGATTTTTAGGCTGAAGGGGAGTATTTGGGAAAAGTGTGCCAGTTACGCAAATCCTTGTATGGTTAGAAACAATCTCCATAAGCATAGTTTGGTCACTTCAGTTCTATTATTATATCTATGGGCTTTGTTCAGTGCCACTACAATCACACTTATTTCATTCACTGGAATTCTGTAGGTCAGTGTATAGTCTTGTTAGTTTATATGGATGTTATTATTCTCATAGGTGATGACTCTGTCGGCATTGGTTAAGTAAAGAAGGACTTGGGCCAAACTTTTGATATTAAGAATCTGGGATGTCTTAAATATTTTCTGGGAATTAAGGTGGCTTGCTCAAGTGAGGGGATCTCTTTATCTCAAAGAAAGTACACCCTTAACTTACTTTAGGATACTAGTATGTTAGGGTGTAAACCTGTTTCTACTCTTATGGATCCTAATGTTAAACTTACATCATAGTCTGGTGAGTTGCTGGATGACCTAGACATGTATCAATATCTTGTTGAACGCCTAATTTATTTGACCAACACTAGACCTGATTTGACATTTGCAGATAGTGTTGTGAGTCAGTTCATGCATGCACCTCGTAAAGAGCACCTTGACGCAGGTTATCATATTTTGAGGTATTTAAAAACTTTTTCTGGCTTGAGATTGTTCTTTACCGCTGGTCTCTAATCTGGGCTCTCTTGTTTCACCGATGCAGACTATATAGGATCTATGATTGATCGTCGTTCCACTTCTAGTTTATGTGCTTTCTATGGTAATCATCTTATCTCATGGAAAAGTAAGAAGCAGGCAGTGGTTTCTAGGTATTTTGCAGAGGCTAAGTATCGGGCTATGGCACATAGTACATGTAAGATTCTTTGGATTTGCTCTATTATGGCAAAGTTGAGTTTTGAGGAGACTGTTCCTTCCTCTTTATTTATCCTCTAATTCTGTACTTCATGAGCATACCAAGCATATCGAGGTTGACATACATTTCATTCGAGAAAAGATTTGGACTAGCATTTTGCTTTCATCCTTTGTCTCTTCTTCTCAGCAGTTGACGGATATGTTCACAAAAATTGTGGGACCAACTTTGCTGCATGCCAGCTTGAGGGGGAGTGTTGAATATAGAAATCAAAATACTATGTTCGAATATGGAAATTAGAATATGAATTATTTTGATTATAGGAATCTTACCTTGTGTATATTGTTTCCTAAATTGTATCATAAATATATTATATATACATAGCTCCTACCTCATTGATTAGTAAGTCAAATAATTCTTTTCATTCTTTTTCTCCCACCCTTCTCGACTCTTTTTGCACAACCACATTTACTTTCTTTACATTATGTCACCTTAGCTCTCTCTTTCTCTCTACCACCACCACAACATCTCAACTTTTCCCACACCACCGCTACATTGTTAGCTTCGCCCATGAACCCTTAAATCTATCATTGTGATTTTACTCTCTCTCTCTCTCTCTCTCTCTCTTTCTCCCTCTCTCTTTGCAATCTCTGCTGCGATGTCCTTTACAATGGCGAAAGAGGAAATATGTATGGTAGGAGAGGGCTTAGATATGTAAAAAGGGTTAAGACGGTGTTGGTAGTGGGAAAAATGGCTGGGTTGTATAGAGAAGGTTGTTGAGAGGCGAAATTAATAAGACAGAGATTAAGAAGAGTAAGGGTGAGTCTGGCAATGGTCGCAAATAGTGGAAAGGGGTGTGTACGGGGTCAAAAGTTAAAAAAGAATGACAAATGGATGTCCAATGATTATAGATGGTTGAGAAGAGAAGATGGAGAAGAAGAAAACCAACTAGGCCCAACTTAATTGGTCACCATGCCTTCTTTAAGGCTTAATTCATATGGAGGTCATGCCTTCCTCAGGGCTATAGGAGTGCAAGCATTTAGTTGTTTTGCCAAGAGTGAAGAGATTTTATTCCATTGGTGCTAATTTAATAACTAACATTTGTGGATTAAAAAAAAAATGAAAGAAAGAGAAAGCAGTGTTAGGGGTAAATTGTAATTGTTGACATACTTTTGTAATTATTTTTCAATTTCGTATGTATATTACCATTTAGCTTGTTTGGTTTGAGTTTTCTGAATCCACATTTCAGAAAATTGAAACTTTTTGTTTTCCGTATTTTTTTTGTTTTAACTCAATTTCTTTAATATTTTAAACAATGTTTTCGATTTTTATATACACCTACATAAATACACTTAAAAAGTATAATATTTGTAAAAAAAAATCTTAAAAAAATTCACTAAATACTAAAAATATAAAAAAAATACAAAATTTAGTACATTTTGCATATTCTTGTGTATTTATTATTATTTAAAATATTTTTTTACAAATATTTATTTTTTAGATATATCTAAATAAGGTGCATTTAAAAAAAAATTATTTAAAATTTTAAAAATATTCACTAAAAATAAATAAAAAATAAAAAAATCAATTTTCATAAAATTGAAATCAAATACAGTAATTATTTTTTCAACAATGCTAGAGGGCCACAATTTTTGTAGCCACAATTAGGGGTGCAACTCGGGCGGGCTCAACCCGAGCAACCCGAGCCTAGCCCGAGTTTTTTTAGGACTTGGGCAACTATATCTTGTAATCTGGACGGGCTTGGGCAGATTTTTGATGCCCGAATTGCAATTCGGGCCGGGCTTGGGCAGAACCAATGGCCAACCCGAGCAACCCGAACCCGAATTCAATTTAATATATTATATAAATTATATAATATATAATATATAATATATATATAATTTAATAAATTATGTAATATATATAAATTAAGTAAAAGAGTTAGTCTTAATTTTTATTTCAGTTTTAAGCCATTGTGACCACAAAAATTGTAACCTTCAAACATTTTTCTTATTTTTTTATTCTTTAGTTTTGTGTAAATTATTTTGGTTGTGCTAAAGAAAAGAAAAAGAGAAGAAAATAAAAAATGGACCAATAGCGAGTGAGCTATAAAAAGCATGAGGTGGACCTCGAGGTTACTGGATTAGAAAAAGTGATGAAGGTATCAATCAACATACAGCAGAGAGAGTGACCTATTGCGGGACCAAAAGCTACCGTGCGCACCCTCGTTGTCATCACCCACCCTTCCCTCTTCTCCTTCCGTGAAACCTCCGAACCAGAGATACACACACATATATACATATATAAATTTATATATATATATATATACGCGTAAATTCAACGACCATATTTAGCCCTAACCAACCAACCTTTCTGTGAACACTTTGGGGGGTTTGGTAATTCAACAAATCGATCCTCAATTCAAACCCTTAAATCGAAATTGACCCCTTAATCGTCACGACGATTGTGATGATGATGGTACGTTCAATCCTCCTCTTTAACCGTCAACGATTCGACCCTCTTAGCTAAAATGCGCTGGGTTCGATCCTCGCCCCCATCCTGCTCTCTCTCGCTCTCTCTCTCTCCTCCCAGCCACCTACTTGTTGTTGATTTGATTTAGGGTTTTCTCCACCCAATCGGTGTATCATCACTGTTAATCATTGTCTAATGGCGGTTAGGGTTTGGGAGGCAGGGTTCGTTCTATTGGTTGTGTTCGGGAGGCTAACGTGCGCCGAACTCGTTAGGGTTTGTCCTGTGAACTCGGTTTCGGACTCGGTGTTGGGGTTTCGAGATTCGAGCTGTCCGAGTAATGGGGATGAATCTATCGAATCTGTTGGTGTTGTTTGTGTTACGGAGGTGTGTAATTCTTTCAAAGCCTGATTTTTTATTTTTAAATCTATGTTTAGATTTGGGTGTTTCATTGACTTACATTTTTTAATCTATTTGTCTGTCTGTTTATTGACACATGGGTATGTACAAAGATTGATTTTTTGGTTCGATAATATAGTTGGCTACTACTTTAAGGGCATTTGAAATTCAATGCACTAGTTTATTATCTAGGATTGGGCGTACCCAATTTGTAGGAGAAGAGAAAAATGCTGTTAGGAGTGTGTGTTGGTTTCATGTATGGGATGATCATTTTGTAATACACCTGACTTCCAATTTAGACGAGTTGCCATTGTCAGTTTAGAAATTTGTCATTTTGTATACTACTTTTGGAGGTAGATGGAAATTAAAATTATTCAATACTTGAGCTTTTGTAAGTAAGCTCTCTTGGAATCCCAAACTACTTGAATTTGGCTACTCAAATAATTTTTCTTTGTTTTTGCTCCATCGTAAGGGTTGTCTTGTTTAATGAAAACTTGTTTTTTTAGTGACTAGAATTTGGAATGAATGATGTATCTGGTAAGTTCATGATTTCAGCAATATTTTGCAAGATAGTCTTTTGAGGATACTAAATCAAGTTGAAGTTTGATTTGTGTAGATCTAAAATCAGTCTTGAGTTATATATATATATATTATATGATTGAATGCCTACTCTTCCTGCTTGAGAAACTCCAAAATTCCTATAACATAAGACCTTATGTTCAGATTCTTAAGCTAATCTATTGCCAAACCTTGAGCTAGGATGTCCATATCAATATAAGTGGTGGTGGTAACGAACTGGACATTTGAAGTGAAACTCCTGTTCAGGAATCAGGATGTCACTCTATATGGGGAAATATGGTAAAGGTAGATTGACATTGCTTTGTCTTAGCATGAGTTGTCTTATCATCAAAGGTTAAAAAAAAAAAAAAAGGAAGAGATAGGAGCAGTGAGTTCTTTAAACCTGGAAATATTAAGAAGTGAAAATGGCCTCAGCTATAGGTATAAAACCTTATTGTTAATTTTGCAGAAACTGTGATGAGCCCATCAATAGTATAAAGTCTTAGAATCTAGTTTATTGAATTGGGATTTTAGTCTTCTTGGGATATTTCCAAACTAGAAAGTTCTTATTTCTAAACAATTGCACTTTATTTGTATAATAAGTTTACTGAACTCTTTTGACTTTAGGAGATATATATATCCCAACATGGTACCTAGATTTGATTGGTGACGTGCTTGTAACTTTCAAATGATTTTATAGCAACCTGTTTGCCCAAATTTCACTAACTTAACATCTACTATTGCTTAACTGGGCTTGTACCTTATGTATGGTGAACCTACAATCAGAAACAACTATTAGTTTCATATTGATGCTTTGAAGTTTGACCACAAAATATTGGCTGCCTTCACTAACCAAATTCGGAAACCACAATAATGCACATTGGGCATTGTATTCCTTTATAATAATAATTTTAAAAAAAAAGAAAAAAAAGAAGAAGAAGATGTAACATTTTGTTCTTAAAGAAGAAAATAAACTCGAGCTGTTTTAGGCTACATTTTCAAGGTTGGACTTGATCAGGCAATTGGATCAAAATCATTGTTTGGTTAGCCTTTTGAATTAAAGGCCTTAAGGTCTGATATTGGCAACATCTAAGTTTTTGACATGTAGTTTGAAGTGTTCATTTTTTCTTTAATCTTAGAATATTTGTAATTTCTTTTCGTAAGGGGACTGGAGCATGCTACCATGACACAAAATATCTTCTTTCTAGATGCGATTCAAAACTATCAAATCAAAAGCTTAGTGTGCAATTTGAATGAAATAGGTTTTTCAAATTCAAATTAGTTTTACATGAGTTTCAAACTTGAATTCGGATTATTATTGGTATTTAATTATTCACATTATTGTTTGGTGCTAAAAACTGTTAGGCGAGCCAATAGTTGGATCTTTCGACTCTTTAATCACCTTCATGGTTAGTCTTTAGACAAGGGCTAATTGTTACACTTGTATATGCTTGTTGTTGAGGGATTTGTGTATTTTGTTTTGAGTCCAGCCAATAAGTTGGCTTACATAGTGGAGAAACTTGTTGCGCTCTGTCTTACTAGCTACAATGTGACAATATATATCCATGAATATTTTTCCCCTTCATAATTCTTGAGTTGATTGGCATACATGTATATATTATTTATTATCCTTTTAATTCATCTTAATAGGTGTTGTCAGGTTAACATTTTTAACGTATAATTTAGAAGGAAAGCTGAATCAAACTATAAAGGTGTTTTTTTGTTTTTTAATGTTTTTATTTTATAGTATGATACTGATGGTGTTTACATGTCTTTTTGTGAAGGGAGACGAGGCCTCATTGCAGAGGGCACTTAATTTGGGCCACAAGAATAGTCATGGTTATGTTGCTGTGCTCTTCTATGCTTCTTGGTGTCCTTTTTCTGCCACTTTTAGACCAACTTTCTCTATTTTGTCGTCCTTCCATCCCTCCATCCCTCATTTTGCAATTGAAGAATCAGTCATCAGGCCAAGGTTTGTGAACGTTATCCTTATTTGTGGATTATTATTGTTATTGTTTTTTTTGTTGTTGTTATTATTATTATTATTATTATTATTATTATTAGGGTAAATTACACTTACCTCCGTTGGGGTTTGAAGAAAATGCAATTAGCCCCACACTTTCAACATAATTATTCTGACTTTCCTCAAGGTTTTAACTCACATAACACTTAAGCGCTTTTATCAGTAATTCGTAGTCGTATTATTGAAAAAACAATCTTATCATCTCTTTCGTACTAACCTGTATATTTATCTTTGATTATTTCATTGTCTACCTACCATTGGCATTAGTTTTGGTCGCTTTAATCATACTAAAAGGGAGGATGGTGTAATTATGTCAAAAGTGTGGGGTGCATTGTATTTTCTTTAAAACTCAAGGGAGGTGAGTGTAACAATAATTTTTTGTATGTTGTGTAATTATGTCAAAAATGATGTCCAAAACTCAAGGGAGGTTAGTGTAATTATGTCAAAAATGATCTTATTAGTTTTTGTATTGAAACTTGACATGTGGAATTAACAATAATTTAATATTCATCAGCATACTCTCAAAATATGGAGTTCATGGGTTTCCAACTCTTTTCCTTCTAAATTCTACCATGCGTGTGCGTTATCATGGATCCCGGACGCTTGGTTCTCTTGCTGCTTTCTACAATGATGTTACAGGTAAGGCCCATCTCCTGAAATTTCTCTGCTCTGTGCTTCTGTTTGTTTTGAAATGGAGGGAGTATTATGTTATCTGATACATTTGTGGACTTGATTTACCTCACTCTCTCTGCACGTGTTATCTGTCCTTGTTCTGAACTTCTGATGTTTTGCCTATGATACTGGCGCTTGTTCTAGTCCTCCTTGCACATGAAAAAAAAAAAAAATTGAAAATTTTATCTGCATGTGTGTGTGTGAGAGAGAGAGAGAGAGAGAGAAGGGGGGGGGGGAGAGAGGAGTTTACTGAAGAAATTCTCAAGGGACATTTAATGAAAATAAATCACTGCTGCAGGCCTTAAGACTGCATCACTGGATGGAACCTCCCTTGAAAGAATTGGACGCTCGTCAGATAATGAGGATCATAATAACATTGAGCCAGAAAGCTGCCCGTTCACATGGGCTAGGTCTCCGGAGAATTTGCTTCGGCAGGAGACCTATTTGGCCTTGGCCATCGCATTTGTGCTCTTGAGGTTGCTCTACTTTATTTTCCCGACTCTCTCTAAATTTTTTCAACTGGTTTGGGGACGATACATCCTAAACGTAAGGTTGAGGACCTTGTTGGAGCATCCTCTTGCTTATCTGAATCGAGCAATACAGTTATTCAATTCCCTAAAAGAGCCCTGCAAGAGAAGTAATTTACAGGAAGGAGCAAGCAATGCAAAGGCGTGGGCTACAAAGTCCTTGGCCTCGGTTTCATTTAGGGATGCAAGCAGCAGCCGTGGATTATGTCAGTAAGTTGATCTTGCTTAAGTTGTGTTTGGATCATAGATTTGGATATAGTTTAGAACGGAGAAGAAATAGGTGAGGGAAATGGAGAAAAAAATGAGGTTATATGTCCTTCACCTTTCCCTTACCCTTTCCAAACATGGCTTTACTGTTTCCCAGCAATGTTAACTTTTTAGATTCTTCCTTGCTGTAACATCTTTCATGCTAGGCAGGAAGTTTGTATTCTAGAATTACTTTGACAATTTGATTAGGTTTTCATTTGGGTTTCAATTTTTAACCTTGTTTTGCTGTTGCAGCAAATACTACTTCATTTATATGTAACCTATAATTGAAATTGTTCTCACCATCCCCCAAAAAATAAGAAATGGGTTTAACTTTGTGAATAGCTTATAATCTTGTCTTGACTTTTGACAATTTGGATTCATGTCATGAGTGATAGTTCTCAATCTCTACTTAGCTTTGAATGGCATTAGGATTTCTTGATAACTGTTTATATTTAACATGTTAAAGGGCATTTTCGAAAACTGCATGAATCTTTGGCTTTTAGAAATTTGCAAGCATAGTAAGCTTTTCTCTCTCTCTCTCTCTCTCTCTCTCTCTCTCTCACATACACACGTGCGTGCGCGCGCACATTCATAGCCCTAGGCAAATTGAAGCAAGAATTAGGTAGTGTTTGATTTGTTGGAATGAAATGGTCATTTTTTTTATAAAAAAAAAATGTGAGTAGAGATTTAGTTCATTTTAGTGAATCAAACACTGCATTTGTTTTATAATTGATTTGTAGGCAGATCTATTTAGTGATAGATGTGTCTGGCTCTCAAAATTAGATGAAAATACAAAATACTTTTCCCTCCCTTTTATGTGGGTTAGAATAGGATGGACTCCTTTTTAGGTTTTCAGATGCACTGCCTGATAATGTTGCAAAAAGAAAAAATTTAGGGCATTCAGTTCAGAACTTCAAATTTGAATTTTTTTTTTTTTGTTTAAAAGTCTAGGCGTTTAAATATTATGTCAATAAAGACAATCTATCACAAAATGACCAAAATACTTGCCAATATTTAAAAAAACAAACACTTATCCGCCAAAACTAATTTTCCAAAACCCATTGTTTTCCAAAACCCACCCTCTCTCTCTCTACTCATCTTCTCTCTCTATACTAGGGATTCTCTCTCTTATGTCTTTCTCACACTCAGCACCACATTGCTGCCACCGGTGGATCTCCTACTATCATTCCACCACTCGGAGAAGTTAGATCTGTCGTTGCCTTCGCTGTCGCTGTAGAGAGCTGTGATAGCACCGATGATCTGATGTCACCATCTTTTCACACCGATCTGACTTCTTCAGTCATCTTTCCAAGTAGTGGCGCCGTCACCTGACTTCGCTCTTCGCCAATTGTCTTTCCAAGCAGCGGCACCGATGATCTGACAATGCCATTTTTTCCTCCATCGAGGCATTTGTCGCCCAAGGTTTCCAAGCAATGGCGCCGTCGTTGATGCCAGAACTACCTTACGCCGCCTCAGATCTGCCGTCGGTGTGACATCTTCGATGATCTGAGAAGCCAAGTTCCAACATCGTCTTTGTTGGCATCTTCTTTCCACACCAATCCGGCGCCGTTGTCGACTCTTCTTCATTTCACTTCTTACTCCATTCAATGCATATATACATGTGTATATACATATGAATCTATTTATTTTGTATATAAATCTATTTATTTTGAGTATTAGAGATGTGATGGAAAATCCTCTCTTATAAATATTTACAAGATAAATTTCTGAAAACAAAAATTTCATATTCAAGCTTTTTTGGGATTTGATGGAGATTGAGGAGCAACGATAAAATAGAAGTCAATAACTTCAACTGAACCCTCTAGACTTTAAAAAACACTGATGTTTTAACAATTAAAAGTCAGTGATGGCTAACTGTGAATCCTCTGACTTTTTCCCCTTGAACCCTCTTCCCTCGGTTTGGAACTTCGGATATGATTACTCCCCTGTGCCACACACTTTTTCCTATGATTTCTTTGTGTTTATTTATTTGTTTATTTTTTAAATATGCGGGTTTAACATTACCTATTAATGTTGGACAAGTGTCATCTAGCTCGGTAGAAGCAAGTTTCTTTTAACAATTTCTTTTAATAATTTTATTAATATGAATTAGATTCATTCAATCAGAATCTTTGACTTGATAATTTTTTAGCATTACTTTACGAGATGAGATCTCAGGTTTAACTCTTATTCTCTTATGGAGAAGAGTTTGATATTCTTACTCTCCTATCAATTAATCCAAGAAATAAAAAAGATTCATATTTTGTCAAGTTTATAAATATAAATTCTTGACACTTTTCTAATTTTTTTTTTCTTCTTTTGTTAAACATTTGGTGGAGTGTATTTCATTGATCTAATAACTTAAATCAAGGCTTGAAAGTTGAACCCTCTGAAATTCTTTTCTGGAGTCGCCACTGTGGAGATTTGGTATGGTTTTGTTTTTATTGGGGATCTATACATGTGAACATGTCTGATTTTAGAAAAATAAAAAAAATTTATGGCATGTTTGAAAAAAATATTCAAAATAATATTCATGGAATCTGATTTGATCTAATCTATGGAATTTGTGAAAAAAATTTGTTGAGAAAAAATTAAAAAATAATACTATATTCTTAGAAAATGATATCTATGGAAAGTGTATCTTCTGTGAACTACTCTAATTGAACAGATCAGTCTCTTTCAAGATTGAGGTTTTCTGTGAGCTACTCTAATTGAACAGATCAGTCTCTTTCAAGCTTGAGGTTTTTGGGTTTTGAACAGATAAATCTCTCATCTTGCTCTCTCTCTCTCTCTCTCTCTCTATATATATATATATATCTGTGTATGTATGAGAATTTGAACAGACAAGAAAAAAAAAAGCTTAGGGAATTTCAACGGATAGGAAAAAATAAAAAATAAAATGAATAGATAATAAAATTTGGACAGATATTTGAACAAAAGAGGGGGAAAATTGAAAAGATAGTAAAAAATTTTGAACAGATAGAGAAATTTTCTGAACAAATAGGAAATTTTTTTGAACAGATAGAAAAAAAATTAAACAGATAGTCAACGAAAGTCAACAGATAAAAAATATTTAACAGATAAATTAAGGGGAAAAATTAGAAACAAAATGTTAGGGGTAGCAGCAGATATACCGATTCGCCCAAACCGACCAAACTAAACTGATCCGCTGCATTTTGGACGGATGCATAATGACGAGCGGACGGTTGAATGACGAGCGAACGGTTGTAGATTAATTTTTTTTCAATCCGCCTAGTTTTGGATAGATGGGGGATTTGAGGTTCCTTTGGCTGTAACCGAACCGCCAAACCGCGAATATCCCTAGTAATTTATAAGACTTTGTGTTTTCAATTTGTTCAGATATTCTATTTGTGTTTTCAATTGAAAAAGAGTTTAAATATTATGTTGAATATATTCTGTTGAAAAAGAGCTTTCAACTTGAATATATTTTTTGAATTGAAAAAAAATAAATGTATTATTTATCTATATTTTTTTGTTTTAAAATCTAACTCTAAAAATAATGATTTTTATTTTGAAAAACAGATATAGATGTAATAAAACAAAGACATACAATCTTTACTACTGCTCTATTCATAATTTTGGCGGTTTGAATTGTTTTTATATTTTAAGAATAAATTATAATACTTTATGTGGATGAGACGTGCTGTGATTGTAATATGTGAATGAGGTATGCAGTAATTGCAATATTCTAAAATTTCAAACTTTCTTTCTTTGGATGAGGCATCTAATGATTGTAATACTTTTTTAAGTCATTGACTTTAATACTTTTCTTTTTTTTAGGAAGTACACAAGTTGAATTATGTTGAAAATTTATAAAATTCTAAACCGCCAAACTGATTCGCATCCATCCGTTAATTCGCCAATCTGCTCAATCCACATCCGCCGGATTGGCAGACGGATGCAGATTGATTTTCTCCAATCCGCCAATCTGGCGGACAAATAATGGATTTGAGGTTTTATAGCCGCAACCGATCTGCGCCCACCCCTACAAAATGTCTTTCAAAATAAAAAGACTTTTCACCAAATTATTTCACAAAAATAGTTCTCTCATCAATAAAAAATATTTATTGAATCTAATGCCTTATACTTTTCTTAGCTTGAACTTTTAAATAATTTACTTAAAATTTTATGTATTTATTTTACAAAAGCATAGCTTAACATTTCCTGCACACACTTGGATAAGTGTAGCATTCTATATTGGTTTGTTTTTGCAGATGAGGAAGTAGAAAAGAGTTACAAAATATTGGCTTACCCTAATTTGGGTGAAACCATGTCTATATATAATCAATATGAGATACATGAAAAAGGAATTAAATAATTACACAATCAAATCCTAAAATTAAATTCCTAAATTAAATATACAATATTCCATATTCCAACATTTCATGTTTCAACACTCCTCCTCAAGCTGGATCAAAGATGTCAACCAACCCCAGCTTGCCAATGGAAGATTGAAGTAGGGATGGTCCTACAGATGGTGAAGATGTCGACAGTTTGATCAGAAGATGGAACAAATGAAGGACATACAATGCCAGTTTGAACCTTTTCCCGAATAAAATTATAGCGACCCCGGTCTTTTTCCTTTAGATTATTGTATCCGGACTTAGGTTCCGTGGATCCTGTCAGTATATATTGGTTGTTGTCGTCCTTTAATCTCTTTGTATTTGAGTTATAGGATGTGTTGGGCGGGTCTGTTACAAGTCAGTTGAGTTTAGATGCCAAAACTAGTTGCCCAGATTTTGACCTATCCGCTCGAGCGGGAGTTTGACGCTCGAGCGAGAATTCTTTTGTTGCTTGTCCGCTCGAGCGGGGGTTTTGGTGCTCGAGCGGGATTATCACCCATCCAGTATTTCCTGTGCAGTGTTGGACGCTCGAGCGTGGGATTGGACGCTCGAGCGGAAATGTGTGAATGTCGTTCGAGCGTAGAGTCGGACGCTCGAGCGGGGACCTGGTTCTGCAAAAATACTGGGAGTGCGTATTCGATGCTCGAGCGGGAGTTTGGACGCTCGAGCGGGGAGTCGACTACATCAGTCCGTGATTTCACTTTTTGGATCACTTTTTGACCTACTTTTCTTTCTTAACTTTTAAAAACCGCCCCTTGAGAGTCTCTCTCTCTCTAAACCTGCCTTTTCTCTAAGAATTGATCTACCTAGGGTGAGTATCTAACCTTAGTCCTTTATTAAAAAGATAGAGTGAGTCAAGGGCTTCCATTTAATCTGAACGTTTGGTGGTTTGGAGCACTTTGGAATTCGGGTATTCATCTTCGTCTTCTCCATTCGGGTTATTTTCTTCGAGGTAGGGATTTCCTACTCCATCCTAT